TCAGTGACTTCGGCTTTCTCTCCGAGGCTTCTTGGGGCGTCTTGGGTGCCTCCAGGGGGCCTCTTGGGGTCTCGTGGGGCCTCTTGGGGGCTTCTTGGGAGCCTCTTGTGGGCTGCTTAGGGGCTTCTTCGGGCCGCCGGGGCACCTCTTGGGGCCCCTCGGCAGCCCTGGAGGCCATTTTGAGGCCATCTTGGAGGAGATCTATCATACGTAGGAGGGAGCTCCTTAACCGGGACCTCCCCCCGCAGGAGGCCGCAGTGTGGCCAAATCCTTTCTATACTGATTTTGGCCTTCTTGTCGAAACCTCTGGGATCTTGGGTGCTTCCATGGGGGCCTCTTGAGGCGGGGTCTCTTGGGGGCCTCTTGGGGGCATCTTGCGGGCCTCTTGGGGGCCTTTTGGGGCCTCCTGGGCACCTTTTGGGCCCTCTTGGGGTGCCATTTGGGAGCCTGGGGGACCATATTTGGGCCAGATTTGATTAGATCGATCAAAGGAGAGGAGCTCCCTAATTAGCCTAGCCCCACCCCCCCACCCCCCCAGGAGGCCAAATGTAGCCAACACTTGGTAACATCAATGCTTTGGGCTTCCTCGCCGAGGCACCCCCTCGCGAAACGCCCCCTCCAAACCCAGGGGCAGTGGGTAGGCAGGGGTCAAGACACCCTTCCAGCCCGCAAGCTGTCTTGCATACTCACCCGCCATCCCAACGCACAAGTAACGCCCGAACCTCAGCTTGTTCAGCAGTCGTCTGCGTATGGACAACTACTGGGAACCAATACAGTCCCCGTGTGCGCGACGCTGGGGCGAGGTGCGCCACGCGTGCCAGGCGCTCCAGGTGCGCCAGGCACCCCTGGGGCCCCAGCGTGCCAGGCACACTCCGCGCGCCAGATGCGCCACGTGCTCCACGTGCGCCACGTGTGCCGCATGGTCCAGCCGCGCCAGGTGTGCCACGTCGGGGGCACGCGCAGAGTGTGCCAGGTGCGCCCGCGCACGTGACAGCACACATCCGGAAACATGTCGGCCCCCACCGTCTTTGTCGAAAGCCAGCGCACAGTCGCGGCGGGCAGGCCATCATAGTGTCTGATGGGCTTGCACTCAGCAGGCAATCTGCCAGCATCCTCGCGGTCCTTGTGAAACAACATACGAAAGTGATCGCGTGGTGGCCGCGCGTGATCCAGACTTAGCCGCGAAGTGCACGTTGTATTGTTTGTGAAAGGAGCGATGATCTTGCGCAAAGCAGGCAATCTGAGGGCACCCCTGCCGTCCCCCTCAACAAACAGTACAAGGTGCTCGCGGGGCCCACGAGCATGACCCAATAATTAGCCCCAACGGGCATGTTCGCGCTGCTTTTTTGTCACGGATGTGTGCATGTGTGTGTTTTTTGTTTGTTTGTTTGTTTGTGTGTGTGTGTGTGTGTGGAGCATTGGTCTTGCTTGCCTGCTGGTCGGTCGCCTTGGGGAGGGGCTGTCGTTAATAGGGAACTGTGGTAAACCCATCCCCGAAGGGGAAAAGGGGGGGGGGTGGAAGAAGAAACGCTCTAAACTACTCATGCCCTGAAGGGCTGGTGGGATTCCGTCTAGTTGGTGGAGGCCCAAATCGCTCCTTGCAGGTCGCCGACAGCGGCACCCTGCCCCCAGCTTTTTCTCCCTTCGCGCAGGTCCAGCTGGCGGCCACGGAGATAGGGCGCTTCGGGGGCGTCGCGGCCTACCACACGTCGGTTGGCGGGCTCGGAGTGGCTCGTGGGATGAGGGGGGGTCGGACATCGGATTGGCGCAGTACCCAGAGGACAGCACTAGCTGGTGAGCTGGACCCGGAGGGAAGGTGGTAGCTTCCAGGCCACACTGGCTCTCGAAAAGAGGCACCGCACGTGCAACGTCAGCCCCCAGGGCAGCATGGATCTGCAGAGGCGGTTCTCCTCTTTCAGCGAGGAGGAGCAGGGGCGGAGGAGGAGGAGGAGGAAGAGGAGGAGGAGGAAGAGGAGGAGGAGGAGGAGGAGGAGGAGACGTTTCCTGGGACGTTTTTTGATGCGACTTAGGTCGCGCGGAGGAGGAGGAGGCGGAGGAGGAGGAGGAGGAGGAGGAGGAAGAGGGATGCGGGAGTTTTCTTGACGAGGATCGAGGGTCGAGGTTTCGTAGCTCGTTGGGCCCTCTGGTTCCGTTGGAGGCCCCCCAGGGACTTCTGGAGACCCCCAGAGATTCCAGGTTGTTACAGGGAGAGGAAGAAGTGGAGGGGCGGGGTGGGGAGGAAGGGTGGCAGGAGAACGATATGCATCATGACGGTGGCATTGCTGGTAATGGTGGTGATGTTGATGATGAGGATGTCGGTGTTGGTGCTGATGCTGATGTTGAGGGTGTTGCTGGCGACGGTAATAACGATGATGATGAGGATGATGATGCCGATGATTGTGATGCTGATGCTGAGGCTGCCGCTGCTAATGATGATCGCGATGCTAATGACGCTGATGATGGTGGCTGTGGTGATGCTGCTGATGCATGGTGCTGCTGACGATGACGATACATAATGATGATGCTGATGATGACGATGACGACGACGATGATGATCATGATCATGATCGTGCTGACGATGCTGATGCTGATGATGATGCTGCTGATGCTGATGCTGCTGCTGATGATGCTGAGGTGGATGATGATGGTGATGATTCGTACGAGCATGTTATAACATGGGCACGGATGTGTTTAACACTATTACTATAAGTTCGTGTTCACTGGTATTCATACGAACGAAGCAAACTCATATGAGACTATTACTCTTAAGTTGATTAGGAAGATGAGTTGGAGCAGGTGGAGGAGGACCAGGAGGAGGAGGACGAGGAGGAGGAAGAGGAGGAGGAGGAGGAGGGGGAGGAACAAGAAGAGAAGGTCGTTGTTAGTGGTTGTGTGTGCATGTGTGGGTTCTGAGGTGTCGGATGGTGTCCGATGGTCTCTAGTGTTGTCTGAGGCTTGTCAGAGACATCGGCAGGATTTCGCGAGTTCGTCTTCAACCACGAGGCTTCTTGATGGACGTAGTAGGGAGGATGAACATGACAATGATGATGTGGAGGACGCGTTTGAGGTGGACGCGCAGCATAAGTCGGAGTGCAAGGAGGTGCAGATAGGGAAGGTGGGGGTGCGGTGGGGGTGCGGTGGGGGGAGGAGGAGGAGGAGGAGGAGGAGGAGGAGGAGGAGGAGGAGGAGGAGGAGGAGGAGGAGGAGGAGCAGGAGGAGGAGTGAGGAGGAGGGGGGAGACAGAAGCAGGAAGGGAGGGAGACATCAAGACAACGGACAGACTCAATGTGCCCACACATATATGAGTTGATGGATGGGGGGAGGCGATGAGCAGGAACGGCTGCTGCTGCTGCGGCTGACAACGACGACCATGCTGATGGTCATGATGACGAAGATGCTGATGACGACGATGCTGATGATGGCAACGATGATGACGATGGGGATGGTGGCGGTGGTGGTGGTGATGATGTTGATGATGCTGATAACGATGATTACGATGCGGCTGCTGATGACGATGACGATGACGATGATGATGCTGCTGATGATGCTGATGCTGATGATGCTGATGTTGATGATACTGATGGCGATGCGGCTGCTGCTGCTGAGGATGCTGATAATGGTTATGACGAGGATGATGGGCAACGATGCTGCTGTTGCTGCTGACGATGACAACGCCGACGACGACGATGATGCTGCTGATGCTGCTGCTGACGATGGCACTGGTGACGGCATCGGCTGATGCTGAAGCTGATGCGGATGATGCTGACGACGCCAATGATGATGATGATGATAATGATGATAATGATGCTGCTGATGATGATGATGATGATGATGAGGATGATGATGAGGATGATGATGAGGATGCTGATGGTGATGATGATGATGATGAAGGTGAAGATGATGATTGCGATGCTGATGCTTCTGACGATGATGCTGATGCTGATGCTGATACTGATGCTGATGCTGATGAGGGTGATGCTGATGACGCTGATGATGGTGATGATGATGCTAATTATGAGTCTGATGATTCTGATGGCGATGTGGGTGATGCCGACGACACTGGTTGTCATTATGATGCTGATGATGATGCTGCTGCTGAGATGAGGTTTATGGTTGTGATGATGCTGATGAGGATGCTGATGCTGATGCTGACGCTGATGATGCTGATGCTGATGGTGCTGATGATGCTGATGATGCTGATGATGCTGATGATGCTGATGACGATGCTGCTGATACTGACGCTGACGATGCTGGTGATGATGCTGGTGATGATGCTGATGATGCCGATGAGGATTATGCTGCGGCTGCTGATGATGGTGATGGCGGTGCTGATGATGATGATGACGATCATGATGTTGATGCTGATGATGATGACGATCATGTTGTTGCTGATGATGACGATGTGGATTATGAGGATGATGCGGTTGACGACGACGACAACGGTTGCCACTATGATGCTGATGTTGTTGCTGCTGCTGATGATGATGAGGATGATGCTTTTGACGATGGTGATGATGCCGACGAAAATGATGATGATGATGATGGTGATGGTGATGGTGATGATGATGATGATGCTAATGCTGATGCTGGTGACGATGCTGATTATGATGCTGACGATGATGATGACGATGATGATGATTATGCTGCTGATGATGGTGATGCTGATGCTGATGCTGATGCTGATGATGATGATGCTGATGCTGATGATGCTGATGCTGATGCTGATGATGCTGATGACGATGCTGCTGCTGATGATGATGATGCTGCTGATGATGCTGCTGATGAAAGTGGTGGTGATGATGGTGATGATGATGATGATGATGATGATGATGATGATGATGATGGTGATGATGATGATGATGATGATGATGATGATGATGATGATGATGAAGAAGAGGAAGACGACGACGACTAAGAACAATCATGACGCCAAGGAGACGATGCGACGACGGCCGAGGTCATCCTCGGCGGGCAGGAGTTCTACTTCGACGGGCAGGCGCGCCGCTCCCGCCCCAGCCCGCCTCGCCCGCCTCGCGCGGCGCCCGCCCGCCCGCCGCCGCCGCTCAGAGCGCGCGCCGCCGCTGGCCGTCGCCCCGCGCCGCCAGTCGCCGCTGGTCGGCCTCGCCGCCAGCGTCGCCAGCGTCGTCGCCAGCGTTCGCGTCGTCGTCGTCGTCGTCGTCGTCGTCGTCGTCAGTGGGCCTCAGTGGCCGTCGGAAGGAGGAGGAGGAGGAGGGATGAGGACAGACAAGGAGGGATGGGGGGAGAGGAGGAGGAGGAAGAGGAGGAGGAAGAGTAGGAGGAGGAGAAGGGAGAGGAGGAGGAGGCGGAGGACGAGGAGGAGGGAGGAGGACGAGGGATGAGTTGAGGGAGGAGGGAGGAGGAGGGAAGAGGGGGAGGGAGGATGTTCCATCAGGTTTCCGGAAGCCTCTGGTTGATTCGTGAGGTTTTACAGCGGTTTCCATCAGATTTCGGGAGGTGATTGGAGGCCACTTTCGGAACGCTTTTTCGGAATCGGTTTTCTGGAATGGAGGACAGGAGGAGGAGAAGGAGGATGGGAGGGAGTGGGAGGCAGGGAGGGAGGGGCGAGGAAGGAAAGGAGGAGGAGGATGAGGTGGAGGAGGAGGAAGGAAGTGGAGAGGTGGATGAGGGGGAGGAGGAGGAGGAGGAAGACTTGGGAGTTTGAGGAGGTGGGCCCGGCACATGTTATCCGTAAGGGCTTCGCCCCCTGCCGACGGCCCCCTCGCTACCACAGTGGGATATATCAGAGTCGCGTCAGTGCGTCTCGGCGCAGCCTTGGCACATCTGGGAGCATCATGCGGGGGCGGATAGGAAGCATCAGCGCATATTGAGACGTTGGCGTTATCGAAGATGCCTACGGCGAATCACCGCCGCCCCCTGTCTTTTGGAATCGCCAATGTGGCCGAGCGTTGTGGGAAGAGCTCTGCCAAGCTATCAGGCCATGTGTTCCTCCAGCCGCTGTAGAAACTCTTCGGGGAACACTTGGGGGGGGATGGCGGGGAAAATCAGGAGGAGGAGGAGGAGGAGGAGGAGGAGGAGGAGGAGGAGGAGGAGGAGGAGGAGGAGGAGGAGGAGGAGGAGGAGGAGGAGGAGGAGGAGGGGGAATCTTAGGAGCCTCTGGGGGCACTCTCGGGTCCCAGGGAGCTTCCTGGGAGCCTCTTGGAGGCATCTCGGGGGCTTCCTTGGGCCTCTTGGGGGCCCTTGGGGGCGTCTCGGGGGCCTCTTCGGCCGTCTGAGGGCACTGCTGGCCCGTCTGACGCCGTCGGAAGCCGTCTTGGAGGCCTCTCTGGGCCGCCTTGGGGCCCTCTTGGGGTGCTCCAGGGCAGCCCTGTCGGCTCGAGTTTATGATTGCAAGTGGGTCAGCTGCCCACATAGATTTGCCTCCTGCCAGAGCGTTTCTCCGACCAGACACGCAAGATGCGGTTCAGCGTGGATGCATAGATTGAGAATCCTGGTCTGGAACCCGCAGAGCTGCACGGGCGCGAGGCAGGAGGAGATTGTCACAGAGTTACGGAATTTCGACGCGGTGCTTCTAGCTGGAACGCAGTCCGTAGATTACCGCCAGAACCATACAGGCAGTCAGATACTTCGACGACGTGTAGCAGGACGACTGCTTCTCGAGGCGCCTTTTGGTCCCAGCCCGCACGCGAACTCTAGTTGTGGATGCGCTATCGTGCTCGGCGGGGGCCTGAAGGAGGACCATCTAGTGGCCAGTTGGTGTTCTCCGCAGGCAGCTCGTGGGAGAGCGATTGCAGTTCGAGTCAAACGTGGACGACAAGATCTAACTTTGGTTTCTCTTTACTTTCCGCCTCGGGATATGCGACTCCAAAAAAAACGAGCTTATTTCAGAACGGTACGGATCTTGCGAGACTGGCTCCAAGATATATTGGCTCAAACACCGACACGTTCAACACCTTTTATTTTCTGTGATTTGAATGACGGGATGGGTTTACAGAAGCGAGGCTCGGGCAGTGTGGATTTGCGTTCTGGTGCTATCGGTATCCCGACGTTGGAGCGCACAGAGGACGGAGCAGGTGCACTGTTCCGAGCAGTTCTGGAGGAACACAGGCTTCTAGCAGGCAACACGGTGGGGGGGAGAAGCTCACCGACTTTCTTCGGCGACACATATAGCTCGCGAATAGATTACCTCAGTTATCCAGCGGACATGGACGCTATGACTATCACTTGTGGCACTATCCCGAAGTTGGGTGCAAAGTTACAACTACAACGTGGTGCGGCTCCCAGAGATCACTTACCACTGGTGTGCGTCATGAATTATGCTAAGTATTCCCCTGAAGTCAAAACGGAACCTATTTTGCGATGGGACCGAGACGCTCTTATGATGGCCCTCAAGAAAGGCACCCACAAGCGAGAGTTTCTTGAACACGTTCGTGATTCACTACAGACGGTGGACCCGAGATACATCAAAGAGAGTGCATCGCCAGACGATATCTTCGAGACGCTGGAAGGGCATTTGATTTCGGCAGGTGAGAAGTTTTTTGCCACGGCTATGCGGCCGCCTCTATGTGAAGATTATTCGCAACACTGTGCTGATCGCCGATGTTTGTTACAACAGCGAACAGAGATCAGAGCAGGGAAGTTAGAGGGCAGCGAGGACGAGGTGAAGCAGATCGACGCAGAGCTGGCCAGCCTGACCAAGCAGCTGAAGATGGCCCGCAGGCAGTTTCAACGTCGACGTCAACGGCAGCTCTTGGACGAAGCTAATGAGATGTGGAAGCAGAGGCGCGCAGCGGAGGCCATGAGGATTACACGCCTGGCAGCTCGAACGAGGATTGGCCCAAAAAAACGAGACGGAGCACTCATTCGGCCAGGTCCTCTTCCTGCTCACCAGTGGCTCGAGGTTTGGACATTGCCAGGCCATGAAGGTGGCATGGCCGTGCAGCAAGTCGAGTGGGAGGCTCTTCGTGAGGATCAAGAGGGGCACTTTCAATGGCTTCCTGATGCTGAGCTCTTTGAATTGGCAAAGGCAGATTATTCAGCGATTCTCTGGCACACGATTCGGGCGCAGAAGCGCAACGTGGTTCCCCCTGGGACCGCTCCGTTAGAATTGTGGCACATGTGCTTCTTGCCCAAGCCGAGAAAGGATGCCCCGCAAGTTGCAGGGGTTGGAGCCTCTGATGAGCCCCCGAGTACTTTAACTTTTCAGTTCATGGTGAACGTTGGCCTGGCAAAGATCAGGATGCACCGGCAGACTCCATTGTATTGGCACACCAGCTCTGCCTGTGGATTGCGCAAGTCTGGCCTCAAGGGGCCCCGAGGACGCCGAGTAGTTCACATCCTTCCAACGGTTAGTAAAGGGTACTTCGGTCGTCGATTACGTGGGGAGCCATCGGTCATGGACTACGGGTTCGTCAAAGGGCGTCGTCGGGAGGAGGCGGTTTTATGTTCGCAGCTTATGAGTCGTCGACTTCGGGGGGGAGGTTTCACGCACGCAGTTTGTTTGAAAGATCTAAGTAATGCGTTCGGCAGTACACACCACAACACATTGGACCAAGTTGTTGAGCTTCATGCGAAGCCAGAGGATTATCAGATCTGTAAGCAGCGCTTTCGGCAGAGCCTGATTCGATTTGAAGCAGCAGATGGCCCACTTTTAGTCAGGCCCCGACAAGGTGGCTGTATGGGCGACCCGTTTATCGTCTCTGCCTTCGTGGGCGCCTTTAACTTTCCGATTCTTACGTGGGGGAGGGAATTGAGGACATGGGATACCAGATCGAAGCTATTGGTGGGGGAATGGAAGGGATGGAAGGTAGAGACTTCACTTCAGAAATACGCAGATGATTTGAACAAGCTCGTTATTGCTGATCCAGGAGATTCGTTATCTTCCTTTTTGGACAAGCTAGTGCAAGTGGGCAGGGACCTAGACGAGGCCCTTTCCATGCATGGGTATGCGCAGAATGCCAGCAAGCAGGAGTTTCTTGTACACTTTGCCCAACGGGGTCATCTCGGACGTGCCAGAATCCGAGCGGGTGATCTTGTGTTGAAGGGAGCTGTACGGGAGGAAGCTCGTTACCTGGGGCCATTCATTACCATGCGGGACTCGGCTAGGAACGAAGTTGTTCGTAGATGCGCTGCTGCACGTACTGGTTTTCACTCTCTTAGTGGAATGTGGAAGCTAACGGGACTAGCGAGGAGGTGGAGGAGATGCTTATTCATCGGGTTTGTTCAAAACGCTTTGCTATCTGGTTTGGAGAGTTTCCCGCTGTCTAAATTCGACTATGACATCCTGGACTCGTGTTTGAGCCGATTGGGGAGAGCTGCAATGGGTGGGAAAACGGCTAACTATGAGGGGGAGCATATCACGAGCCTCACTAATAAAGAAATCCTATGGTTCTGGAAAATACTTCCCTGTAACCAGGAGATGAGGATTAGGCGCCTAAAGCTTTATCAGACGTGGGGTCGACGTCCTGAGCACCATACCCAGGTGCTAGTTGCTCTTTTCGGGGAGTTTCAGTTCGACACTAGGCCGCAGCTTTGCGCAGGACGTCCATCCCAATACGCCTCGCCGTGGCTGCAGCAAATGGCCGCGGACTTGGACCAAGCAGCAGAGTTATTGCCAGATTGCATGATCGAGCCGATTGCTTTGAATCTAGCCCTCTTCGCTGACAAGGAAGCGATGGAGGATTTCTGTGTGATTGATTTCGCGGAGCTGAGGAGCCGAGAGTTCGGCAGGCGGATCCCGCCACCTGGATTCCAAGAGCTGGCTTCGTCACCAGTTGTCGTTCCGCCACATGAGCGGGACCCATCGGAAGCCTTCATATGCAGGCACAGTAAAAATGGGGTTGAATGCGGGGCCAGTTTCCTTACGAGGCCAGCGTATTTATCACGCATAAAGTCGGCGCATCATGTTCGTAACCTCTACTTCGTTATCACTCCGGCGAATACTTGTATCAGTTGTCGTCAAACACCCTCCTTCCTCTCAAAATGCCCAGATCACTACAATGTCTATGCTGTGAATACGAAG